GGATGATGCCCTAAATCCAGAACACTGATAACACCAAATGCTGGTCAGGATGCAACAGGAACTCTCATTCAATGCTGGTGGGAATGCAAAAACGGTACAGCCAGTGTGAAAGCCAGTTTGATGGTTTCTTACAAAACTAAACGAAGTCTTACCATAGAATCCAGCAATCACACTCCTTGGTATTTACCCAATAAAGTTAAAAACTTGTGTCCTCACGAAAACCTGCCAAAACCTGCACATGGACGTTTATTTCAGCTTTATTTACAACTGCCAATACTTCAAAGCAACTAAGATGTCTTTCAGTAAGTGAATGGATAAATACACTGGGGTCCATCCAGATTGTGGAACATTATTCAGTGCTAAAATGAAATGAGCAGGCAGCCCGGGTGGCTCAGGGGTTTGGCACCGCCTTCAGCCTGGGGCGTGATCCTGGAGTTCCGGGAAGGAGTCCCACGTCAGGCTTCCTGCATGGAGCCTGCTTCTCTCTCTGCCTGTGTCTCTGCTTCTCTTTCTCTCTGTATCTCTCATGAATAAATAAATAAAATCTTTATTTAAAAAATAATAAATAAAAATAAATAAAATAAAATAAAATGAGCTATCAAGCTACGAAAAGACATGGAGGAATCATAAATGCATACAGCTAAGTAAAAGAAGCTCATCTAAAAAGGCTACATACTATATGATTCCAACTATGTGACATGGAAAAGGCAAAACTATGAAGACAATACAAATATCAGTGGTTCCCAGGGGGAGGGAGAAGGGAGGGATTAGGAGGTAAAGCACAAAGGATTTCTAAGCATAGTGAAAACACACTTGACCCCTAAACAATAGGGTTTAAACTGCATGAGTCCACTTATACTCAAGACTTTTAAATACAGTACTATAAATATATTTTCTCTTCCTTAGGATTTTAATGACATTTTCTTTTTCTCTAGCTTACATTATCTGCAAAGCTTCTAGCCAATAGTAGGCTATTAGTAATTAAGTTTTGGGGGAGTCAAAGTTATAAAAAAATCTTAGAGCAAGGAATTGGTGCCCCTGATGTGTTGCTCAAGAGTCACTGTACTCTGTGTGATACTGTAATGGTGGATACACGTTATACATTTGTCAAAAATTTACAGAGTGAACACTAAGTGTAAACCCTAACATAAACTATGGACTCTGGGTGATTATATGTCAGGATAGGTTTATCAATTACAACAAATGTACCATTCTGCTGGGAGGAGGTTGATAATAGGGAAGAGTGTGGTTGGAGGGGGGTGGATGGAGTACATGAGCGATCTCTGTACCTTCTGCTCAATTTTGCTATAAACCTAACATTGCTCTAACAAAAAATAAGTTCTTAAATAGCAACAACAACAAAACTCCACCCTGCATGATCTGAGACAGCATTCAGAGAAGGGAAAGGAAACCCCAGTTCTCCCAGATGGCCCTGCTGGGTGTTCAGGCAGGATGGTTTACCCAGTAAGAGCAGAGTTTGGTTCCCAAAGAAGACAAAGCCTACTGATTGTCTAGTCGCCACAAATATGTGTCAAGTACCTACGAGGGGTGAGGCACAGGGTGAGGAAATTAAAGTATAAAGATGAACACAGGGGATCCCTGGGTGGCGCAGCGGTTTAGCGCCTGCCTTTGGCCCAGGGCGCGATCCTGGAGACCCGGGATCGAATCCCACGTCGGGCTCCCGGTGCATGGAGCCTGCTTCTCCCTCTGCCTGTGTCTCTGCCTCTCTCTCTCTCTCTGTGTGTGACTATCATAAATAAAAAAAAATTTTAAAAAAATAAAGATGAACACAATGTGCATCTGGACTTTGAAGGGATAATGCTCTGTCGACACGAGTCATTTCTGCACAATGGACAAAATACAGTTACAGGGACAGCGTGGAGTATTATGGAAACACAGAGGAGAAAGGCAATTAATCTAGAGGCAGACAAAGAGAGAGGAGAAGAAGGTTTCCTGGCTCCCCCAGTGGAGCTCTGAGACTCCGAAAAGGAAATGCAGTAAGGGTCAAAGTCAGCCTGCAGAGCAGGAAAGTGAAAAAAATGCACAGGCAGGTAGTAACCCCACGTGTTTAGGGAGCTATGTCAGAATTGGAATCACCAAAGAGTAACACGACAGGTTTACTTTTAAAATGCCACCTTCTTCACTAAACTATGAATTCCATTAGAAAAGCACCAGGTTTCTACATCATTTCCAGTGGAGTCTGTGGAACACAATTCAGTATCTGGTACATTGAACAAATGCCCAGTAAGCCAATGTTGAATAAGATGTAAAGAGTATCCAAACCAAAAAAAACATTTTTTAATAAAACAGGGAAATAGGAAGCGGTCACACTCTCGACAGCCTTAATTTTATATAGAACTTAGCCTTGGCCCTACAGGTGGTAGGAAGCTACTCAAGGGTCTCCATATTACAATGACATAATCTGAACAGCATTTCATATTAAAGATTTATTTATTTTTAGAGAGAGAGAAAGAACATGCATGTGGGTGTAAGGGGCAGAGGAACAGAATCTTCAACGAGACTTCCCACCAAGCGCAGAGCTTGATGCAGAGCTTAATCCTACAACCCATGAGATCATGACCTGAGCTGAAATCAAGAGCTGGACCCTCAACTGAGTCACTTCAGGTGCCCCTGAATAACATTTCAGAATAATTATTCAGGAGGACAGACCTAACCTGGGGGAGAAAGCAGCAAGGAGCTGTTCCAACAGTCCAGGGGAGAGAAAATTAAGCTCTGATAAGGGAGGAGGAATTCTGTAGGAAGAACAGGTTTAAGAACTGCTGACATCTTAAAAGTAGTAAAGCTGAGCTACACACAGGATATGGCTAAGGAAGGGAAGGCTGGGATGAATCCCATTCTGGTGCTTCCTTAACTGTGTCCCACAGATGGACCATCATCCAACAGCAAGGGAGGAAGCAGTAAATAACCATTTTAATTTTGGAACTGCAGAAACAAAGGTGCCTCTAGTCACCTGCACATAGAAGGACAAGATGTAAGAGAAGAGCCCAGGCTATAATAACACTTGGTACTACCACCACGGAGTGTATAAAATAGAAAGGACTGGCAGGCTTACAGGAGAGAGTGAAGGATGGAAATTTGGGGATAAGCCACGAGAATGGGCAAAAGAGGAGGAAGATGCCATGAGGGAGACAAAGAAATCAGAGTAGAAAAAAAGCCAGAAGAACAATGTCACAAAACACCAGAGAAAGAGGCCTTTGTAGAAGGTCAAAGTGGGTTAACTGCCACATGCAGCCAAATGTTCTGGTAAAGTAAGGTCTGGAAAACATCCATTGAAGTCCACTGTAAAGACATTACTGCCATGCTTTATCAGGACACATTTAGGCAAGTAGTAGGGAAGTGAGGTTTTATCCAGGGGATTAAAATGTGAACAGATAAACAGATACTCAGCACTAAGGGCCAAAAGATGGAAACAATCCCAAGTGTCCATTAACACATGCATGGGGGCACCTGGGTGGCTCAGAGGTTGAGCCTCTTCCTTTGGCTTAGGTCCTGATCCCTGGGATCAAGTCCTACATCAGGCTCCCTATGGGGAGCCTGCATCTCCCTCTGCCTGTGCCTCTGCCTCTCTCTGTCTCTCATGAATAAATAAATAAAATCTTTAAAAAAAAAACCCACATGAATGGGTGAAGAAAAGGTCATGCATCTGTACAATGTATCTGAACAATATTCAGACACTGGAAGGAAAGAAGTTCTGATATATGCTACAACATGGATGAACCCTGAAAAATATTAAGTGTAAGATGCCAGACACAAAAGGACAAAGATTGTGTAATTCCACTTATACAGAATATCTAGAATATGGAAATTCATAGAGTCAGAAAGTAGATTTGGTTACCAGTGACTAGAGGGGCTAGGAGTTACTGATTAAGTATTACAGAGATTTGTCTGGGGCTATGAAAGTAGATGTGACAGATGTGCAACATAATGTAATTCATGCCACCAAACTGTATGCTTATGGTTAAATGGTTAAAATGGTGAATTCTGGGAACCCTGGGTGGCACAGCGGTTTAGCACCTGCCTTTGGCCCAGGGTGTGATCCTGGGGACCCGGGATCGAATTTCACATCGGGCTCCCAGTGCATGGAGCCTGCTTCTCCCTCTGCCTGTGTCTCTGCCTCTCTCTCTCTGTGTGTGTGATATCATAAATAAATAAAAATCAAAAAAAATTTAAAATAAAATAAAATGGTGAATTCTGTTATATATATTTTTTCATAATAAAAGAAATGCGGGGGCACCTGGGTGGCTCAGTCAGTTAAGCGTCTGCCTTCAGCTCAGATCATGATCCCAGGGTCCTGGGATCCAGCCTCATGTGCTCCCTGTTCAGTGAGGAGCCTGCTTCTCCCTCCCCCGCCAAGTAAATAAATAAAATCTTTTTTAAAAAGTAAAAGAAATGTGAATGGATAGTGCATAAGCATTTACCAAACACTCTAAGTTTGAACAACCTGCTTTCCAACTCTTTAAGGAGTTAAGAAAAAGCCATCCATTTCTTTCATGCCTCCAGACAGCCTTAGGGTTTTGTCACCAGATCAGAGCGGATGTTCAGAAAGCTCTCCAGAGCCCAGAAGCACTTTGGTCCTAATAAAAACCTGAGTTCTGATCTCTACTTCCAGTAAAGAAGGACTACAGGCAGCAGGGGGTCACCATAAGGTTCTTACTACCTGAAGAACTTCAAAGACAATTTTTTCCAGACTCCAGAGTCACTAAGTCTTTCTGTCCCAGGAGTAACTGGCTGGTTCCTCTTTGTGGTCACTAAAAATCCTGCGTAGGTCAGGAAACTCAAAGGACAAACCTTTGATGACTGTGAGGTCACATGACTTACAGCTACCACTGCAGGCTACACAGGTACCACTCACTCTTCATTTACCCAGAATTAGCTTTTTATCTATTTCTACTTTTCTACTTTAAGATATGAACACACTTACAAAAATCACAAAATCTCCTGGAAAATGAAATAGGGAATGAAGGAAAGAAACAACTCACCTGGGATTTGTCCATTTTCTGTTGTTGAAAGAAAGTCAAAACCTGGGAAGGCATACCTATAAGACAAGGAAAAAGCAACAGGATAATGAGAGCTGGCTGGCCCTGCAGCACCTTGATTCTTGTACAAACTTCTACACACCAGCTGGGTAATCTCCAATCCTGGAGAAGAGAAGGAAGGTAACATCTGTCCCTTGTGACTCCTTAAACCTGCAATATTTCCTACTGCTTTAGCTATGTCCCTCTCCCACTAACACAGAAACGTTTAAAACAAGACTTTTTTTTTAAGATTTTATTTGTTTGAGAGAGAGAGCTTGGGGGTGGGGGGGCGGCCGTGAGCAGAGAGGGACAAGCAGACTCTGCGCTGAGTGTGGAGCCCAACAAGAGGCTTGATCCTATGAACCCCAAGATCATGACCTGAGCAGAAATCAAGAGTCAACCGAGTCACCCAGGTGCCCCTAAAAACAGAACTAGTAAGCAAATACCTGCAGGTCAAAATAAGAAATACAATGTCTTCATTAAAACTGATCTTGCAGGGCACGCCTGGGTGGCTCAGTTGGCTGAGCCATCGACTCTGGGTCCAGCCAGGGTTGTAGGATCGAGCCCTACCACAGGCTCAGCCTGGAGCCTGCTTGGGGTTCTCCTGCTTCCTCTCCCTCTGCATCTCTCCTACTTGCACATGTTCTCTCTTTCTAAATAATTTTAAAAAAACAAAATAAAACAACTGATGTTACAGGGGAAAACAAACCTTAAAGGCTATTTTGTGTATCTGATTTACTGACAATAATACTCACCCCTTGAGTCCAAGAATCCTCAAAGCTTTGGAAAAAGGGATAGGTACCTTAAACATAAGTCTTTTTAAAAAAACTGTTTCTCAAAAGATCCTTTTTTAAAGATCTTATTTATTTATACATTAGAGACATAAAGAGACAGAGACACAGGCAGAGAGAGAAGCAGTCTCCATGTGGGGAGGTGGATGCAGGACTTGATCCCGGGACTCTGGGCAGACCTCAAAGGATCTTTTAAGAAAAAACTTATTTTGGGCAGCCCCAGTGGCACAGCGGTTTAGCGCCGCCTGCAGCCCAGGGCGTGATCCTGGAGACCCGGGGATCGAGTCCCACGTCAGGCTCTGCATGGAGCCTGCTTCTCCCTCTGCCTCTCTCTCTCTCTCTGCATCTCTATGAATAAATAAATAAAAATCTTAAAAAAAAGAGAAAACTTATTTTAATGTGATTGTGTGGACAGCACCAAGTCAGGGGTCAGGGACTTCGGCTTCTATTCAAATCTTAGGGATCCTACAGGAGTCATTTCCCCTTTCAGGTTCTTTTCCCCTTTTCTGTCAAATGAGACAAAACCAGAAAACCTGGCAAACTCTCCGTGAACTATGACTCCTGACCCTGTAAGATCAGGAAGGCACGAGAACACATCTCCAGATGCCTGACCCGGTGACTAGTCGCTGTCAGAGAGTTGCCCACCTTCTGGAAAGAATCAGTGGAGAATGAAAGGAGGAGAGTGCCTTCGGGATGGGGTGGAAATAAAAGCTTCCCAGCTGTAGAGCCAAGGAGGTGACATCTGTCACACAGCGGGTCCCCTGCCAGCACCTGGCCCCGGCTCCCTCCTCCCAACTGCAGAGTGACTCACAGCTTCTGAATGTGGCGAAGCCACCCAGCCGTGGCGTGCCCCCTAGGCTCGCTCTTTCTGCCTCTCTTCTGCAACTCCGAAGAGGGTGGGTTCCTCCCGGTGAGATTCCTGTTCCTGAAGCCAGGCTCTTCTTGCCTCAGGGGAGCTGCTTTGTTCCAGGAGAGCCGGGGGGGGGGGGGGGGGGGGGGACCAAACCCCCTCCAGCTGGAGCCTTCATCGGGGGCCCCAGACCCGCCTCCCTGAGGACACGAGGACACACGCTGCTCTCAAGGAACCCAAAGCAGGGGCCCGAGGACAAAGGCGGGCTGGCCGCCCAGAAGCGCCCTCAGCCCCTGGACAGCGCAGAGGCGGGTCCCCCGCGCCTGGGGAGGGGGCGGGGGGCGGTACACGGCGGAGCGGCCCCCGCGGCCCCCGCGCGCCCAGTCGTGCACCAACCCAGGGAAACCCTAAGGAGCCCCAGGAGTCACACGCGCATTTCGGTCACGCGTGTGAGGCCTCGGTGCCGGGCTCTGACGGGTGTAGAGCATGCACGGCACGGCACCGGGTCCCGGTCCTACCTCGGCGACCCCCCCGCCGGGGGCGGCCGGCGCGCGGTCCTCCGGGCCGCAGTCGGGCCCCCTCGGCACCTACGAGGATGGAGACTCCCGCGGCGAGCGCAGCCTCCCTTCCTGCGCGAGCGCTCGGGGCCCCCCGAGGCGCCCTTATTCCGGGTGGATACTGCCCCCGCCGGGAGGGGGCGACCGCAGCGGGCCGGGGTCTGCTGCCCCCCTTCCCACGCCCCGCGCCGCAGCCCCAGGCGGCCAGCGCGGACCTCGGCCAGGTCCTCTGGGACACACTGCCCGCCCTCGCGCGACCGCCCCCGCCCCCCGCACCGCCCCTGGGCAGGCCGCAGACCCCCAGCACGCCCCGCGGCGGAGAGAAGCGCGCCTGCGCACTGAGCCCGACGCCCGCCGGCCTGGCGCGCACGGAGCCCCGCGGGAGGCCCCGCCCACCTGAGGGGCGGGACCTGCGCGCACCCGCCCCGCCCCCACATCACCCCACGTCCACCCCTCGCCCCTCCCCAGCTTCACCCCGACCCCGACTCCCACCGCACTCTGCCCCCACATCAGCCCACTCTCACCCCGCCCGCCCCCTTGTCACCACTCTTACCCCACCCCACCTCCCACATCACCCTTCTCCTACTTTCCCCGCCCCTCCCCAACTTCGCCCTGACTCCAACCCCACTCCGTTCCCACGTCACCTGGACTCCTACCCAGCTAAGACCCCACTTAGTTACCCCACTCCCACCTCGCCCCGCCCCCATATCACCCCACTCCCACCCCACCCCACCCCACATCACCCTACTCGCACCTCGCCCTGCCTGCATGTCACCTCGATCCCATCCCAGCCTGCCCCCACATCACCCCACTCCCACCCCTCCACGCTTCCACATCACCTCGAGTCTCCCAAGTCTCCCCAACCCCAGCTCTGCCACCTCTCCTGCCAGGTGGTGAGGGGCCTCCCCAAAGCTGCCAAACAAGGCAGACACACTCGGGAATACAGATGAAAAATTTTAACCAAAGTAGCCCTTGTTGGGCAGCCCGGGTGGCTCAGCGGTTCGGCGCCTGCCTTCAGCCCAGGGTGTGATCTTGGGAGTCCCGGGATCGAGTCCCGCGTCAGGCTCCCGGCACGTCGGGCTCCTGGCTTCTCCGCCTGCCTGCGTCTCTGCCTCTCTCTCTCTCTCTGTCTCATGAATAAATAAATAAAATCTTTAAAAAAAAATAGCCCTTGCAATCAGTTGCCCAGCCAAGCAATTTTTAAAGATGTGAATGAAAATGAAATAAAGGCAAATAAACTTCTAAGACATAATACACAAAAACTGAAGTTTTAAGTAAAAATACACAGACACTAAAAACGAAAGTATCTCCCACTTTTTCCCAGAGATGACTATCCTGAACCGGTAGTAGTGCATCCTTCTGACAGTTTTACCATAAAGAAAAAATAAAAAGGTCTCATGAGGAGCCAGAGAACAGGTGGAGGGCACTGTAACGCTGATGAAGGGGACTTTGAGATTGGTGGGAGAATAAAGTATGTAATACATGGTTAGCTCAAACAGTGACCACGCTCAAATACAATATGTTTCACCTGGATTCAAGATTTTAAAATTCAAAAGCAAATTCTTTTTTCTTTTAAGGTTTATTTATTTATGATAGAGAGAGAGAGGCCAGGAGGAGGGAGAAGCAGGCTCCATGCAGGGAGCCCAACGTGGGACTTGATCCCGGGACTCCAGGATCGCGCCCTGGGCTAAAGGCAGGCGCTAAACCGCTGCGCCACCCGGGGTTCCCCTCAAAGGCAAATTCTTTTTTTTTTTTTTTCAAAGGCAAATTCTTAAAGCATAAGTGAATTTCAGAATATACAATCCATGGATGGGAAAACACGGGACAGCACACTAAGAAATCATTAAGCTGAAAACTAACTAGTTTTATGTTAGAAAGTTACACATTTCAGTTTCAGATTAAAAATTGGAAGAAAGGGATCCCTGGGTGGCGCAGCCGTTTGGCGCTTGCCTTTGGCCCAGGGCGCGATCCAGAGACCCGGGATCGAATCCCACATCGGGCTCCCGGTGCATGGAGCCTGCTTCTCCCTCTGCCTGTGTCTCTGCCTCTCTCTCTCTCTCTGTGACTATCATAAATAAATAAAAAAAAAACACATTTAAAAAAAAAATAAAAAAATAAAAATTGGAAGAAAGCTTAAAGACAAACCAGGAAAAGATTCTGTGATCTTAATTTATTAACAGCTCTTACAAATCATTGGAAAGATCAGCATTACTATTGTCACTCCTTTAAGATATGAAAAGGGAATTAGTAAGACAAGTTGTATGTGGATGATAAATATATGAAAAAGTCCTTCATGACAAACTACAGACATGCAATGTTTAGGACATTTTTGGCTGACTCACTCTTAGGAGAATAAGACTCTTGATCTTGGGGTGGTGAGTTCGACCCTCGTGTTGGATATAGAGATTACTTAAGATAAATAAATAATTTTTTAAAAATATATTTTTGGAAAATAAAATTTGAAAAGGGTAAAATAATACTAATATCCAGGGTAGGTACAAACTTAGAAAAATATTCATTTCTCTCATGTCTAGTATGAGGATAACTCATACAAACTTTCTGGAAGCTACTCTATTAACAAAAACTACCCTTTGATCTAGTAATTCCATACTTTGTAGTGAATGTTAATGAAATAATGACCCAATGATGTATGTATATGAATCACGTTCAATTAACTTGTAATAGAAAAATAATGGAAGCAATATAAATTTATAGACTATTTAAATGTCTAGTCAATGAATGTGCAAAATATTTTGCACAAGGTGGTAGCCATTTTTAAAAAATATTTTATTTATTCATGAGAGACACAGAGAAAGAGGCAGAGACATTGGCAGAGGGAGAGGCAGGCTCCTCACACGGAGCCAAATGTGGGACTCAATCCCAGGATCCCGGGATCACAATCTGAGCCAAAGGCAGACAGACACTCAACCACTGAGCCACCCAGGCACCCCAGTGGTGGTCATTTATAACAATAATGTAAGGTAAATAACTCACATGTTACAATGTTCATAATCGATTTTGGAATCAAAGTATACTACCAGATAAATACATGATAGGGTCCTTTTTTTATTTGCTTGTGTACTCTAAAGAATATCAACAAATACGTGCTTTTAAAAATGAACAAAGACAGGGGTGCCTGGGTGGCTCAATCAATAAGCATCTGCCTTTGGCTCAGGTCATGATCCTGGAGTCCTGGGATGGAGTCCCACATCAGGCTCCCTGCTCAGCAGGGACCCTGCTTCTCCCTCCCCCTCTCCCCCTCGCTCATGCTCTCTCTTGCTATCTCTTTCTCTCTCTCTCAAATAAATAAATAAAGTCTTTTTAAAAACAAACAAAGACAAACCCACAAACATAACAGTACAGAACAGTGTGGATACTCCAGACATGGTTCATTCACAGGAATCTAAAGAATGGAATTAACATCTGAATATCAACTAGAGGGACACTATCTTGAATTGCAAGCAAAGCATGTCAGCTTTACTATTCTACAAGTCCTGTATATTTTAAATTTATAATTTAATGAATTTGTATTATTTAAAATTTGGGGCTATTAGACTATTAATATTTTATTAGCATTACTTCAAATTTGTATGATTAAAAGACCTATAGGAATACAACAGCACTCTACTATGCTTCCTCTATAGCTACTATATTTGCATATAAAGTCATGGGAAAGATCAGGATAGCTGTACAATTGTCAATGGTGATTTCATTGGAGGAGTGGACTTTAGATCGATTTAGTCTAAATAAGATTTTAGACTCCTCTACAAACATCTTTCTTCTCCCACAGGGAAAAGATATGCACTCTTATTTGTGGACTTTTAAGGCTCAAGGCAGCGCTGTACAATAGTCCCACCCTAAAGAGGGGGTCAGCTCACATTTGCAAAGACAATTCCAAGCAGGGACAGCCTGTCCCTTGCTGTGGATAACTTTGGTCAAGACCCTTCAACTGCCCAGACTTCAGCACTTCCACCCAGAAAGAGCAAAGGGATGGATCGTGCAGTGAGTTTCCAGCTATGAGATGTCACATGCCTATGATCTGACAATTCCAGCATTGCATAGCAGAATGCCCTATTAAGTACCCAAACTCGAGATGCCTGGGTGGCTCAGTAGTTTAGTGCCTGCCTTCGGCCCAGGGCATGATCCTGGGGTCCTGGGATTGAGTCCCACACCAGACAGACTCCCTGCATGGAACCTGCTTCCTCCTCTGCCTATGTCTCTGCCTCTCTCCCTCTGTGTCTCTCATGAATAAATAAATAAAATCTTAAAAAAAAATAAGCCTCCAAACTCCTAGAAATCTGGGATCTGCAACCTCCTCACACTGTAAGGTAAAAGAAAGACACCTGGGGAGGCTAGGTGGCTCAGTTGATTAAGCGGCCAACTCTTCATTTTGGTCATGATCTCAGGGTGGTGAGATTGAGCCCCTCATCAGGCTCTGTGCTCAGCAGGAAGTCGCCTTGAAATTCTCTCCCTCTCCCTCTTCCTCTGCCCTTCTCCCTGCTTGTACATTCTCTCTCACCCTCAAATAAATAAATAAATAAATTTTAAAAAAAGAAAGACACTGCTTTGCTGTTTAGGCATAGAGCTGGCTATATGACATCATGTTGATGGAAATATGACTAGGTAAAAACATGTTTGTGTCTATTTGAACAAGTGTGTTCTTAGAGTGTGTCTGAGAAGCAGCTATGCAAAGATGTGGAGCTGGGGCTCTGGACCTGAGTGCCTGGGCTCAAATCCCAACTCTCCAGCTTATCAGACCTTGATACCTTTGGGTGGCTCTCTGTGGCTCACTTTCCTCATCTGTAAAATGGGGATAAACACCCTTACTGGAGGTAGAGCATGTACCCAGTAAGCCAGGGACCAGGGTATGCAGACAGAGTGCTGTTCAAGGTATTAGTGGCTTTTAGGTGTTTTTAAGGAATCCATCTGAATGTATATTGCATCTTGTGTGAGTGCGGTTACATGCTCTATGGTGCAGGGGGCACTTCAGTTTCTTTGACATAAGGAAGTTTATAGATAAACCAAAGAGTAAGAAAGTAATAACTTTATTATGTTATGTGTGTCTCCCCAAGATTCACAGGCTGAAACCCCAATCCCAGCGATGGTATTTGGAGGTGGAGCCTTTGTGAGGTAATTAGGTGTGAAGGTGGACCCCTCATGAATGGGATTGGTGCCCTTATTTGAAGAGGTCAGAGAGCTAGTTGTGACATTAGAAGTCAGTATGC